TTCTTTAGTATTCCAGTTGATAAAGGGGATGACCTACCAAAGTTTGATTATTCAGATTTTGATTGTATAGTGTTTGATGAGATTTATATGTCCAGTCCTTACATATTGAACAAAATAAGGGTGTTTGCAAATAACAATCCTGACATCGTAATTATAGGTGCAGGTGATGTCAAGCAACTGCCACCGATTGAACCTTTCACTAATACTCAAAACGCAGGCGAATACATTGACAAATGTATTGACATTATTTTTAAATATAATATATTTTTAAAGATATGTAAGCGAGTAGGTGGTAAGGATACAGAAGAAGGAGAAAGAAACAGAAAGAAACTGAATGAAATCTATGATGACTTTTGGATTAAAAAGATGGCAGTTGAAGAATGGATAGTTAAGCATTTCAAATTTACTAAAGATGTTATGAATAGTGAAAACAACATAGCATATACAAATATTAGATGTGAGGCAGTATCCAATGAGATTAGAAAAAGATTAGGTAAAACATGCAAATATGAAATTGGAGAAATCTTAATATGCAGACTTTACAAAAAGGACAAGGAAGGAAAACTGAATGTTAATATTAGGTGGAAGGTTGTTAATAACGAAGGATACAAGATAACAATACAAGATATCAAGGATGCAGAGAACATTAGAACACTTGACATTGATATTGTAGATAAGCATTTTAGATATGCCTACTGTGCTACCACTCATAGCAGACAGGGGACATCAATCAGTGATAATATGACCATTCACGAATGGAACAAAGATTATTTAGTTTGTAGGGAATGGTTGTGGACGAGTATCACACGAGCGAGGGATTTTAACAATGTCTATTTTTACAAGAACAAAGAGGGAGATGAAGATATGTTTAAGAGTTTGGTAATCAACTATTTTAAAAACAAAGTTGAAGGATATAAACAGCAAGATAGAGTAGCAAAAAGAGAAATAGACGAAGAGCAATACATTGACGAAAACTGGTGCTTAAAATACTTCAAATCCTGTTGCCAAAACTGCGGAATTAAATTTAATCTAGATACAAGAGGAGGAAAAATAAGTTCTAACTTCACTGCTCAACGTTGTGATAATGAGTTATGCCACACAGTTGAAAACTGCACTGCCTTTTGTGTCTATTGCAATTGCAGTGCGTCATGAATAATTTTGAAAATGAGTTTTTCAAAATTATTTTATTAACTTAATTAATGAGTTCAACACAAGAAATTATCAAGAGTGTATATTATGATAGAAGCGGTTATGGTTCAAAACAAACAACCCTCAAGGATGCTAAGCAAAAAGATAGTAGTATTACAATTAACGATATTAATGAATTCTTTAGTAAGAATGTAGAAGAAAAAAGAAAGATGAGAGGTGAAAATAGTTTTATTGCTCCGCATAGTTTCTGGGAATTTCAAGTTGATATGTTTTTCATTTCTAAAAATGATTTGGAAAATCAAACATTTAAAATTGGTATGATATGCATTGATATATTTAGCAAATATATGCATATCGTGCCAATTAAATCCAAGACACCGCCAGACATTTTAGCAGGAATGATGGAGAATATCAATAAGATGGGTGGCAAACCGAAATTAATTTATACCGACGAGGAAGGCAGTTTTTTTAATCAATCAGTATTAGATTATTTGAAGGAGGAGAAAATTGAATTACATAGAACTAGAGGTCATCCAGCATTTGCGGAGCGTGGAATTCAGACTTTTAAAGATCAACTGTTTAAACGAGTTGAAGCGGACAAGAAAAATGGAAAGCAGAATATCCAATGGACGGATTATATTTTTGAAATATTATTAACTTACAATAATAAGAATATTCATTCCGCAACTAAATTTACACCGAAGGACGCAAGAATGAAAAAGAATGAATTTGAAGTAAAAATGAATATTACAATGCAAGCAAGAAATACTAGAAAATACCCTGAGTTGTCAGTGGGTAGTAATGTAAAAATAATGAGAAAGAAAGGCATAAGCGAAAAGGCACATACCAGTCATTGGTTAAAAGAAGTATTTAAAGTAAAATCAATTGATAGTAAATTAGGGCAATCTTACTTTCATTTGGAAGGAAAAACTAGTCCTTATTTGAGACACGAATTATTGAAAGTTTAATATTAAACGAAATACAGTTAAAGAAAAAACGCCTTATATTATTAGTGAAATGTTATTTAATTATTCAAATTGCGAATGTTGTACAACTAAAAGGAATGATGTTAATATAACATTGTATAAGTTATTACCTGCTAATCTATGTAATAAAATAAGTGAATATAATGTATACTGCAATCAATGCTGTATAACAAGAGACCTTGAAAAGTTTTTTGTTGAAGAACATAAGGATAAGGGATATACAAAGTTTCAATTACAATTAAAATTCTTTATGCGACACCAAGCAAGATTTCCTATACACTTTTACCAGAAGATTTCCAGAAAGTCATATGAAAATGAAATTGATGAATTCTTTAGTAATATAGATTTAATTAGGAGGTTTGGAGGAACAAACGCAATTAAACCATACAAAGCATTTGTCAAAAAATACCGTTATTTGTTTGAATGGATTGACTGGCATTTATTAGACAAAGATAAAATAAACGAAGTCTTGAACGAATTTAGAGCAACTAAATATAGTATATGGTATTACTACAACACTAAATATAAAGTATGTCTATTGTTGTATTTATTCTTTTGGGAATATATTTATTCAATAATAGGAAAAAACAATATCAAATATATATACATTGGTGATATAGATAAATATGTAGATTACATATTTGAAGACATATTGCCTGACCATTATTTTAATCCATAAACCTTACAATAAAAAAAACATTGTAAGATTTATGATTTCAAAATGACTTGAAGAAATAATAACTTAATATATTATAGTAAAATGAGTGATACAGTCGGTATCAATGCTAAAAATATATTGAAAGACAAATTTATGAGTTATAAATGTGATGACTGTGAAATGCTCAAATTACCAATTGAACGGGGTTTTGCAAATGGTGTTTGTAATAATATTTGTCAATATATAATATGCAATAATTGCAATAGAATTATAAAAGCAATTGATGATATGAATAACAAGGATATTGATATTATAAATAATGAAACTATTGATGATGATTTAGAAATATTTGTATTTATTGAAATGAATAATTTCTTAACTATAGAAGGATTTGATAATTTATTGGAATGTAACGACGAAGGATATAATAATGATTTTATTTTTAAGTATTATAGTATTGTAAAACAATTATACAATATGTCTTTTAATATTAAACGTTTAAAAAATGTTGTATTGTTTGATTTTTTAAATGAGTTTTTAAATGATGAGTATAAAACTCACGAACTTAGATATACAATAAAACGTGCGATTGGAATAATGGGAATGTTTAGAAAACAAATAAAAAATAATTTTTATAATGAAACAACGTGTGACAAAATAATAGAAAGAATTAAATTAATAATTTAGTTTTAGGCGAAATAGTCCTAAAGAAAAAACACCTTATATTAATAGTGAAGAAATGAACGGTATTGAAATCAATAAGTATATTAATAAGAAATGCTACGACTGTTGCCACTTTAAAAAAGAAAATATGGAATTGTATAAATTAAATTTACCTAATGGAATAATAAATAATATTATTGATTATGCTTTGGGTGAAGAAGATTTATGCGAAAATTGTAAAACCTGGAGAGATAACCAAGCTATAATCAAATGTTTGTTGAGATTAAAAGGAAGACATAATAGAAATGTAGAAGATGACATTTTGATATTTTTAACTGTGTATAAATTACCACCTTACGTTTATGTTAAACAGTTTCTTAAAATCAGTAAGAAAAAATATGAAATGATTTATGATATATTAAGGATGTTGTGTCATAGTCAAAAGAAAGGAGATGATATTAAAGAATATATCAAGTTTTATATTGAAATTTATAAAAAGTTTAATGTTAAAAACACAGTGAGAGATATTAATATTATTTTTAAAATGATGTATGACATCAGTGAGATTTGTCAATTAAATTATTATCCTGAACTTAAATTATAAATTAACCCATAAACCTTACAATAAAAAAACATTGTAAGATTTATGTTTTGAAATTATGGGGATTTTGGGATTTGGGATTTTGGGAAAATATATTTTAGGAATTTGGGATCTTTAAGATGGTCTGGTCTTAAAGACATGCCACCTATCAATAGTAGCATGGAGATGACTGACAAAATGCAAAAATGTAGGCGATGTGAAAACACTTATCTACCTGACCTATTTAATGTTAGAGTGCATATTTGTGATTACTGCCGAGAACAAAGTAAAATTGATAGGAAGGAAAAGAAAAAGGAATATAATAAAGTGCGTAATCAGATTGAAATAGAATGTGATATTTGCCAGTGTAAAGTGAGGAAATCTGCAATATCCAAGCATTTGAAAACGTTGAAACATATTGAGAATGAGAATAAAGTAAAAACAACAGTTGAGGAAGAAAAACCTAATGAAATTGAAAATTCAAAACCTCCAGTAGCACCAGAGGTCAAAAAGGAAATGGAGGAAGTGAAGGACAAAGTTTTTCAAATTGTAGGTGAATTACCCTTTCTGGAAAATTATTTCATTTCAGCATATTCCGTGAGGAATTCTGCAATTATTCAAATTATGAAATAATATGATTTAAATTTTAACCATAAACTTTACAATAAGAATATTGTAAAACTTATGATTTATAATTCTTCGGAAAAATGACAATTTTGTAAAATACTATTTTTGAAAATTTAGAAAAATATTTACAAAATTTATGTATCAAATCTTGAGTTGAGGTTCTGTTATGAATTGATGAAAAAATATTATGTGAATTGGTCGGTTGAGGGGATTTTATCCAACTGGGGCCTGGCCTTTGGTAGGTCCACCCCCCCCCCCCCCCCCAAAAAAAAAAGAAGAACAACAAAAACACGAACCCCCCAACAAAAAACCACGGGTTTTCTTCTCTCCGACGCGCCTTCGCTCTGGGCGAAGAAGCCGGGCTGGCAGGGGCTGCAGCTCATGGCCCCGCCGTCCGCGGCGAAGCGCCCAACCGGGCAGAGCTGGCACTCTGCGGCGCCGGTGAGCGGCGAGAAGAAGCCCGGCTGGCAGGGCGCGAACCTCGGGGGTTGCAACGAGGGGCGGGGGGCTGGGGGGCTGGGGGGCTGGGGGGCTGGGGGGCTGGGGGGCTGGGGGGCTGGGGGGCTGGGGGGCTGGGGGGCTGGGGGGCTGGGGGCTGGGAGGCTGGGGGGCTGGGGGGCTGGGGGGCTGGGGGGCTGGGGGGCTGGGGGGCTGGGGGGCTGGGGGGCTGGGGGGCTGGGGGCGAATATCCCGAAATGAGGGTGGCTCAAAATCGAAACACCTAAAGCAACCGCAGGGCTGGGCACCACCAAGACAACAGTTGAAAACCCAGATCTGCTAGTAGAGAGGTCCTACCTAAATCCGGGCGGGTGGCTCGTCTTTTTCGGAAGCCAAACGGAAATTCGATCCACTAGGTCCTCCAGTAGAGAGGTGCGGCTAGGGGTACCCTTTCTTCTGTCCTCTATTTTAATTGGGGAGCCCAAAACCAATTGGGTAAAAGGGCACTGGGGGAACTAGCAACCTCGACCCTGTCCATCATGGAAGGGGCTGAGGGGCTGGGGGTGAGGGATGGCTCGGAAAATCTCCAGAAACCTGCGTGACGTAAGCAATGGTTCGTGTGCATCACCAATCTGGAGGTTCCCTTCAAAGAAACAATGCAAAGAATTCTCTTTAACCCAAAGGCAAGCGACTTGCCTTTTCTAACGGGTTTGGATTGAGTTGGCTCAAAGATGTTTCAATCGCAACCCGGAAAAGTGAAGATCGCCCAACCCCACACCTCCCCAGTGATCTACACTGACATCCTCAATTGTCAAGCTGTCCCACACTCACCATTGTGGCCTGGGAGTGACACGCCCGATCTGCCCATGTCGCCCTCGCTAGGCACACTGACCAAAAAGGTAGGCACTGGGGTTCTTGGTGGGCAGCCGTCAACCCTTCTACTAGTTGTTGGAGGACCATTCTGGGAAACGCCCAACCATGATCTGAGGAGCCCAGGATGGCAGGTGCCAACCAACCCCTCTTATGCGTAGCAACTCGTATCAGGCGGCTTGGCGGCGCATGGTGAATATGGCCTCCGGCATGGCCAGTGCCAGCGTTGCTGCTCCGTCACCTTTGAGCTCCGTCTTCAGCGGGCGGCCACAATTCCGGAGAGCAGAGCAACATCAACTCCCGCTCGTAACGTCAAGAGGATCCCGGAGTCAGCCACATCCCACGGCCCTCAGCCACATTCGACACAGAGGCCACTGGCGCCTGATGGGGACGGGGACTTTGCAGCTGCACATGACCATCAACGAGATCCTGGAGACGGGCATCACCTCCAGGACAAGCAGGAGCGCCCAGGAGATGGAGACGCCCCAATCCCAAATTGAAAAACCCTTCAAAATAGCCTCACTCCTCAGCCTCAAAATGCCGGGTCCGATCTCCGTCCTCCAGTAGAGAGGGGTTAGAATAAGGGTACCCTTTTTCTGCAGTCGGTTTTAGCAGGCCAATCCTCCCAACCAAACAAGTTGGGTGAGAGGTAGGGCACCTTTGCGCTGGAAGACCTAGCCATGGTTGGGGGCTTGGAAAAACGGCCACTTCCCGCCCCCGAAGGTCTCGTGCCCCACCCGCCCCACCCGACCATGGCCCTTCCCCGAGGCCAAGAAACGAGGAGTTGAGGCCCCCCTCGCAGTACATCCCCCGCGGGCACTCCCGGCAGAGCAGCGACTCCTGGTCCTTGAACAAATTCGCTCGAACTCGAAAAATAGGCCCGGGTCGCTCCCTTTTCGTGGTGTTTAAGGAAAACACACACCTTTTTTGTGGCTTTTGGTGGCCTTTTGTTTATGTGTCCTTTTTTGGGGGTTCAACATGGGGGAACTTCCTAAGGAAACCAACAGACGAACCACTAATTGTGTGTCGCATCTTGTGACACATACTCAAATGGGTATGTCGAAAATCGTGGGGGGCGAAGGGTGGGGCATTTTCCTTTGGGTGGCCTTAAGGTAAAAAGGGGAATCGCGTGCGCCACTATGGCCCCTCAACTCGCTTGAACGTCACGGGAAAAAAACAATCCTGAGCCCCGACTACAAGCCCCCTGGAGTGAGCTCTGGCGACCTGCATGTTCAACCACAGCCACACACAGACACATGGCCACGGGTCAAAACCCCGGTTATCCCGAATAGGTTCTAAAATGGGTGGACAATCCATATCGTACCCCCAGTGAAAATCCCAATCCCCAGTAAAAGAGGTTCTAAAATGGGTGAATTCACCTACCCCGAAATGGGCTCCCATTGGTTTTGACCCACAGACACATGGATGTGGCCCAAAATTGAACAGCCGGGGTTACGCAGGTGTTGGTCCATGTTTCCAATTACCAGGGCAACCCATTTTGGGGTACCGGTTTTCGAGCCACCGCTTGGCTCTACGGACCCAAGGCGTTAGGCCGCTAGGCCTCCAACTCCAATGGTCGACTTGAAACTCTGGACGTCACAGAAACTGTTTCTTGTGGGCACCGATTTTCCAAACTAATGGACTAACATTGGACCTGTTCTCCTCTCACTGACAGTATTTACTTGAACCTTGGGCCCTTTCAACTGACAATCCCCTCTGCATAGATTCATCGCGTCCAACAGCACTTTGGAAAATGGGGGAAGGGTCTCTTCTTTAGCTGCCTCCAAGCGGGACTCTGATATGCATCACGCGCTTTATACTTCACCTCTGCCATCAGTTTGGTGTCAGTGGGGGGCTATCCATCAGATTGTCAAGCGCTATCCAAAAGTCGACAATGTGACACCAATAGCATGCCGGACATTTATTTCAGCAAGTCGTTGATCAAAAATGGACCGAAGGAAACCAAAAGGTCGATTTGCTTTGGGCAAGGGGGTCCTCTGAGACGGGGCCAAGCGAACTAACTGGACTCGCGGCCTTTTTGTGAGGTTTCCTCTTTGATGTTGGGAAATCAATCGGTTCAGACATTCCCATATCACGGTGAATGCTGGATGACTACTGGATTAATGCTGGAAGAATACCAGATAGATGGATGAATGAATGTTGATTCCTGGACCATATTTTATCAGTTTTTTTCACCCATTTGGAGGCAGGAAAAAATGGGTCTCCGTGTGCGTGTGTGTTTTTGTTGTGGGTACGCTTTTCTCCATGGTTTCAAAAGAAAAACACAAATTGCTGCATGGTTGTCCAGGCCACCGTTTGACTTCTAAGGCCTTGGCGCCTAACAGAGATCCTTTTGGGAGCTTTTTTGGTGGGATTCCCTCTTGGGGGCAGTGTCGAAATGCCGGACATGGTTTCAGGCGGGGAGACAAATGTCTAACCATTTGGGAGGGGGTCCTCACTAAAAAGTCATCGCGGTGTTTATTGGTTGGTTTGAGGTTGGTTCCTCCGGAAAATGGGTCTGTCTGCTTTTCAGAGACCCCCCAAACTTCCCTTTAGCTCCTTTCACAAACCCACCCCCAAAAGGGGTAGCCACAAAAAAAAGCACACCCATCTGGCAGTGTCTTTCTTTAGGGGGTCCCCTGAAAAATGTCCGGGTTCCCTCTTGGTGTCCCAGAAGAAGCCGTGAAAAAGGGGGGACCACGTAGCCCCAGAAAAGAACAGAGACAGACCAAAACTAGCACATGGAACTGTTTCAGGGAACCCCGCACAAAATGCACAAACTGGCTTCGGGGTGTCCTGGTGTTCCTTCAAACCGACCCCCAAAAGGACCTCAAGAAGAAAGGGAACATTTCAAACCGACCCCCAAAAGGACCTCAAGAAGAAAGGGAACATAGGACCAAGCTGTCTTTTTTAGGGAGCCCCCACAAACCTCTTGGTGTTCCAGCCTCAAAACAACCCCCCCCCAACGCCACATTGCGACGCCTCCATTTGCTTAAGTCCCCTGGAAGGAAAAAATCGGAAAAAAGAAGAAGAAGAAACAAACAGTAGTGAAATCAATTCCCCCCCCCCCAAAAAAAAAACGGGGGAAAGTAAGAAAATCTGCGTTTCACATGGAAGGAAGCCGTGAAAGCCGTGCGCGCTGGTCGGTCCTTGTAGGTGCCCGCCTTGCAGGTAAAGAGCTGTTGAGGCGGCAGCCAGCCCCGCGACCCATCCATCCAGAGGGGGTAGCCTGTCGACTGGACTCGCTCGACAAAAGGCTGGTTGATTCCGGCGGAGAGAAAAAAGGCAGGGCGAAGTCTGCGAATAGAGGTCTAGGCAAGTTGCAGGTAGGCCTGGTGCTTCCAGTGTTGTTTGAGCGGGCCAATTTATCAGCACAAAGTGGTCCCTTTTCCCCATTGTCGTGTGTGTGTGTGTGGTTTTTTCCCGGGCAGTGCTCGGATTTGTTTGCTAAAAGTGACGAACTTGCGGGTGAAACTCAGAAGCGAAACACCTCAGGAGATACTGGTGGGGTTGAATGGAAACTGCCACTAAACCAACCAGGAAGCGAAGGAGCTCAGGAGATACTGGTGGGGTGAAATTTGGAAACTGCCACTAAACCAACCAGGAAGCGAAAGAGCTCGGGAGATACTGGTGGGGTGAAATTTGGAAACTGCCACTAAACCAACCAGGAAGCGAAAGAGCTCAGGAGATACTGGTGGGGTGAAATTTGGAAACTGCCACTAAACCAACCAGGAAGCGAAAGAGCTCAGGAGATACTGGTGGGGAGAAATTTGGAAACTGCCACTAAACCAACCAGGAAGCGAAAGAGCTCAGGAGATACTGGTGGGGTGAAATTTGGAAACTGCCACTAAACCGGATGGTAAAAAGCTAAAAACAAAGCCTTTCTGGAACCGGATGCCTAACCGCCAAGTTTTGAAGGCACTGCCCAGAAACTGTAGGGATACATAATTGGGTCTGTCTTTTGAGGGCCCCTGCATGCTTCTCAACACGGGGACCGATGGGAAATGCTCCTCCATAGCTGCACCTCTCCAAGACAAACCCATTGCGTGTGTCTTGAGCAAGAAATCGAAGCCCACAAATAAGAAGGGTGTCCGTCTGGTTTCCCCTTGCCCAACCAAAAGCCATCCGTGCCCTAAAAAACGAAGCACCCATGCAACCCCACCCACACAAATGGGGGGGGAGGGGAGGGTTCCACCTAAAACCCATTCACACCACACAAGTGGTGGGGGTTGCAACTAAAACCCCACCCACAAAAAGGGGGAAAGTGGGGGGGGTGCCACAAAAATTCGGGGGTTCCGGCGTTCCAACCAAAACCCAACCCACGAAAGGTCTAATTATCCTAGGTCCTCCAATAACAAATGTAGAATAAGGGCGCCCCTTTTCTCTGTAGTCCATTCTAGTCGGGTTCGGAACCCTTCCAACCAAAAAAGTCGGGTGAGAGTCATCCGCACCCTTTCGCTCGGAACCCTATCGGTGCCCCTCGCCGATCGCGCCTGTGAAGTTCTCCAGGCCCCCGGTCACTGAAAAGACCGCCAGGTGCTGAAAGCTGAGCCCGTTCCTGGGCTCACTCCCCGTCAAAGGGGGGGGGGACAAAAATGATTGGGGAGGAGGGGGGGAGAAAAATGGGGCACACCGGATTCATGGAGTGCCTGGCTTTTTACGAGCTCCGAAAAATATTTCGACATTCTCCAAAAACAAAGGAAAACAGGGATCCTTACACTTTTCACCTGAACATTGCAACTTGTCAATGGTGGCTTCCCTTGATTTTGGTGTTGAAAAAGCCACATGTAACTCAAATGTGCGCAAAATGAATTTCTTTTTTTCGGAGCCCTGGAAAAGGGACCTACATCTGCCTGCTGGGCCCCTTTGGTTTTTTCACCTCTCGGCTCCTGCGGTGCTAGAAGCCTCCAGCGACCGAGGCCGAAGCGGAATCGGAACCGAACTTCCGACGGGCCGAAAAAAAGTGAAATCCCGCCCCGAAAAAGTGACCAAGTGGCCCCCCAGACTTGTTTGCCAATAGCATGGTCCAGGCTCAAAAAGTGGCGAAAGCTCCAAAAAGACTGAAAATGGGGGGCAAAAAGCAAAAGGTCCTATAAGGCTGATAGGTTTCAGCGGTTCGGATTGGGTCGCGTGCAGCGGCTGTTGGATTGGAACTCACTCCGGTGTCGGGAGCCGAAACCGGAATGCGTCTCTGTTGGGTCGCAAAGGGAAAACGAAAGGAAACCCTTGCTATATATGCATATATATATATATATCTAGTTATTTCAGGGAGTGGGGGGTATGATGAACATTCAGGGTCGTGCAACCTCCTTCATGTGGGGTATCGATTTTCTTTTTTAGGGGGGTCCTATGTTGAGAACCCAAATAGAATCCCCTACCACTTCTATCTAGAAAGGCTTCCCTATCGCGAAGCATCACCGTCTCACCTTGACGGATGTTGTTTCGACCCCCTTCCAAGGCTCCGGAAAAAGAAAAAACATAAGAAAAAAAACGCTGCAACCCGATGCCTGCATGTCACTCCGACGCGGTAAGATCCGTTGCCAGCTTTCATGTGGCCGTGGGTCAAAACCAATGGGATCCCATTTCGGGGTAGGTGCACCACCCATTTAGTCTATTTTAGTGGGGATTGGGATGTTCACTGGGGGTACGAGGGGGTGACCCATGGCCATGTGTTCATTCATCTGGGTTGTTCCCAGATCCCCGGCTAGAAAGTGACGAACTTTTACTGGCAACAAACATTTCGCTTCATCTCAGGCTCCAGCGAGTCGTATGTACATATATATATATATACAGTATATATGGGCGTGGTTCCGTTTTTTGAGGATACCTCCTGTTTTGTTGGTTTTAAAGGGAAATCAAAAGGAAAACCAACAACTTGGGGGGGGGGGTCCCTACAAAAAAGACATACCCATATATATATATATATATTCCCAAAGATTCAAACATCTCTAAAGGGCAAAGCAATCACAAAACATGATATGCCCAGGAGTTGACTTGGCTCAATAGGACGTCCAATCCGACACCCAGCGTCGCCGTGGGCTGCCAATTCTGGAGATTGAAGTTGGTCTGCGCACGATCCGACGGGTGTCTCAAAGTAGGGGAAACTCCCATTTCGGGCCTCGGTGTTGGCTCCCCCAAAAAAAACCAGCCCCAAAAAGGGTAGCCTCAAAAACTTGTAGGGAATGACCAAGGGTTCGGGAATGAACCCAGGGATTCTCAAGGAACCACAGCAAATGGATTATCAGGGTCATTCATTTCTCATTCCCTGCCTTTCGAACCAGTTCCGGGGAAGGTGCTCCAGCCCCGGTCGGGCAGCTCTATTCTGCCCGGTCTTTTGGGCTGCAAGTACAGCAGCGCCATCCATTGAGTACACTTGGTATTGGCATTGCCATTGGCATTCACCACCTTGCACCTTGCATTGCACCATGGCCGCAAGGAGTCTCGCTTGGAGCTTCGATGTTAAAAAAAGAAGAAGTAGAAGAAGAAGAAGCGGAACAAAGAGGAACATCTAAACCCCGGTAGCACAGGACCATACCCTCTCTTTTCATTCGGAACAATCCCAACGAATCCGAAATACCCAGCTCGTCTGCTGTTTCCACGCGCGAGGGAAGCTCTACAGTCACTGCTACAGCCCCGGCCCAAGGTGCACAGCCCTATGATCCGCAAACTAGAGAGAGCCGTTGTGCAGCCCACAGAACCCGTGATAGAAGGAATATGAAGAGCGCGTTTTTGGAGGTTCCCCTTTTTGGGGGCTGTTTCTCTTTCCGCCAACAGGAACACCACCACTTGGTGTCGTAATTTGACACATCCCAAATGACCTGGCCGAGTGGCCAAACCGGACGCGATGAAACCGGCCAGTGACTTCTGCTTTTCGGAAATGCTCGGAGAAGCCGCTAGACATGGGCGTCGCTAACTTCTGCCTTTCGGTCGGAAGGTTGTTCGGAGAAGCCTCGAGAGATGTCAATGAACCTGAGCCACAGGACCAGCCATTGTGGCCGCTTTCAAACAAACTGCCCCGACTTGTGAAACCCCGCACGAAACCGTCGAAAACAAAAATCAGCTTCCCTGGTGGTTTGGATTGGTGGTTTGGAGGTGAAACGGGGTGGCTTCCCATTTGCCCTCTACAAGAAGGGGTTCAAATTCCAAATCCAAAGGAGTTCAAATTCAAAATCAAAACCACCCATGCAAAAGAACAACCTCAAATTCAACTCCACCCATCCAAACCACCCACCCAAACCACCAACTAAGACCAAGGAGTGGGTGGTCTAGTGTCAACAGCAAAACCATGGGAGCTCACCTCCGGCGCTCCAACGCTAAAAAACGCTCCAATCGGTGCCGGCCCCCCGCGCCGGGCGGTCGCCGAACTCATTGAAGTAGACCTACGGCACGGGGCTCCGATCTCACTTTGGGCGCCTCCGAGGTGAAAAACCCAGCGGTTCACGCCCAAGCCCACAGGCCACCCGCAAACACTTCCCCCCCACACTCCGCAAGAAGACCCCAAAGCATCATTTCCATCAAACATGATTTCCGCCAAGCCCTAGTTCCCTCTTAATAGTCGTAGGGTGTCTCCACTGGTTTCCAGCAGACGACCTAAACTGGAAACAACTCTTCAGATTGGCACCTGGTTGATCCTTTAGATCTGGTTTCAATGGGTGACCTCAACTGCCAAACAAACGGGGTTCCATGGTAAAAGGATGGCATAAAAACCCACCACCAGGGGAATCGATCGTTTGGCCAAACTCACCGATCAAAATTGGACAACGCTTTGGCTGCCCGCTTCCAGCAGTACGCCTCAGTTTCGGAAATGGCCCCGAAATAAAAATAATTCGCGGTCAATTCAGCTGGGCTTGTCTCAAAATACCCCAAAAGGTGGGTGGCGTCCTGTTGATGTCCTTTGAAACCACGCAAAAAAAGGTAGCATCAAACAAACAGCCTTGTTTTAGGCAGGTGAACGCAGGAAAGCCCTAAAGATGACCCACTGCAAAGGCCACTCACTTTGACAGAGTGTGACATGCGCATGGTGGTTGAATGCAGAGAGACCGCGATCAAGAATTGAACACATACCGACAAGCTCCTTGAAACAGAAAAGAAGAAGAGCGCGAAGCAACAAGAAGGCCACTGAGATTCAATGTCAGACAGGTGAGGGAGTTCTAAACAGGAAGAAAAGCGCAAGGCATCCCTGAACATTCTTGTTATTCTCCACATTGACCAAGAGCACATGCCAAAGGGCTAACACACCACAGCTTGAAAAGCGAGCTCCCAGTGATGGCCTACCACGATGTTCGGTGGGACGGATAAGCTCAACAAGAGCCACGGAAACACACCGCAGACCATGCATACTTAAAATGAAGGACCGCTGCCCTCAAACAATGTCCTTATGGTTTGTCCTTTCCACCAACCCCAGAAAACAAAAAGAAAAAGAAAAACAATCGAGCCTCTACAAACGGCCCACCCTTTAACTCCACCCACAGCGAACCTCCAGCAGCCACGGAAAACATGGTTACCCCGCTTTGTTGACGTATACTTGAAAAGGACCTCCCTCCGCAACTGGGGGAACAAATCGTGACATACTTTTCTTTACGTTGATCGAGGGAACCCCCAAGTTCGAGAAAAAAAAAAAAAGACCCCCCCAGTTGGTTCAGCGAGCACCCCTCCCCCTGTTTGGAAATTTCCGCTCCAAAAAAAAACATCTTCGACCTCGACGGCGACGGCCTCGACAACATCGACATCGGAGCTCCCGCGCCTCCCCGGAGACCCCCTGGAACCTGGTGTTCTGCCAGAGCTCGTTCAGCAGCAGCTCGCCCCTGGCTCCGAATTGCTGGAAATGAAAGGAATCCGCGCATCTGTGATACACAAAGGCTTCGCAAAGACCGACTTCCCATAAGGGGGAGATTCCCAAAAGTATCACAGAGGTGGTTGGAGAAACCCCTTGTGATCAACCACAACCCTGGCTTCGGATTGCAAAATCCGGCGCCGGCCGACCGGCGGGGGCGGTAGGTCTATCTGACTTGGAATTCTGGTTGACACCTCTGGTTGACTCCTCGAATTTGGATCTTTGGTTGAGACCTCCAATGGATTTGGAGAACCTCCAAAGTAGTCTTATCTCTTTAATTCAAGGAGAAAGCGGTTCCCTTGGTGCACTTCGATGCGTTGAAGCAACTCTTGTTGCAACCCTCTCCTTTCGGTTTGGCCCAACTCGCGGAGATCTGCAAGTACGTCTAACTCCAAAAGCTGGATGAAGAATTGGATCCCCGAGAAAAGGAATCCTTTCTCATGGCTTTCGCTCCTTGTACCCCCTTTTCGGCGAGGAGCCCATAAATTATTCAAACAAATGGGTGGCTTGTCTTTCGGGCCTCTGAAGGGCCCCACCCCCCCGCCCCTCCCCCAAATTAGTGGCTATAAAATAGGCAGAGGATAAGGCTAAACAAATGTTCGCCCCACCCCGACATGCGCCACGCGGGGTCCGCGGCCAGTCCTGATGTCGCCCAGCGGCACGCCGCTGTGCAGCAACCGGTTCACCGCGAAGATCAGCGCATAGCCTCGCAGAACCGCGCTTCCAAACGGGGCGTTCTGCAGGCGTCTGTAGAATGAAAACGGCATACACATTGTACACCAAAAAAGACAGATGTGTATATATATATATATACACACATGTAGCTACATATGTCTTGTTTTGTGCATGTACATATTTGTAGATATATATATATATAGATGCTACCCTTCCTGTGGTGTCTGTGTTTCTCTGTAGGTTAACCACCTTTTTCAGGAGTTGTTGCCTTTTTAGCCAAACATGGGCACCAGGGAAGGGGGGTATGCCATAATTCTACATACTGGTTTTTTGGATTCCTCAATTCTCGGTATTAAGGAGTGTGGATCCAAGATCCAAGATCCAAGCAAATGTCAAAAGGAGGTCCAACAGCAGTGCGAATACTCCGACTCCAACAAAATGCTCAAAATGGGTGTCCCTTCGGCTTCCCTTTAAAGCAACCTAAACAAGTACCCTCAACCCAAATGTTCCCAGATCCCTGCTGAATGGACACTACCACTAAACCCTAAACTAAAACCCGATGGCCAGCAACCACCAAGAAACAGGCTACCCTCAATCCACATATTCGAACCCGGGCTCTTCCCAGATCCCCAGCTCAATCTTGAAGCTTGGAAACTAAATGTTGACCCCATCTTAATAATCCTGCTTATTGATATGGGGGTGTCCCTGGTTTCAGCGGGATTTATCTTTTGGAGGGGAACACCCTCCACAGAAAAACAAAAAGGAGCAGGGGTTTACTAATATGCGGTCAACATTACCTCTAAACGCTAACCTTAAAACCTACGGAACCGGAATTTAGTCGCCATTCATTAACTCCTTGCCCCCCTAGATGCCGTTTGCTGCCTTTAAACGGGGTGGCGCGGAACCACCAAGAACCGCCCGAATCTTCGCACTCAGTTTCGGCTGCCTGCGTCAAAGAGGAAGAAGCTGTAGGCGTAAATCCTGACGGACCCATGTGCTCAAACCCGGGGGTATGCCTGTTGGGGAATCCTCCCTTCAAACAATCTGGAGCCTCCTGTCCCCCTACCTGGATGTTCGGTCAGCCACTTGGGATATAACCCACAATCAAACAAGGTTAACCCCACTACGAGTGGGTTATCATCAAGGTTATCAACAACTTTATAACTTGGCCGAACACCCAACTATTCCCTAGCAAAGGAGCGGATCAGTGGTTGATGGTTGTTCGCATGCCAGAAGAAAGAAACCAGACATGTTGTTGTCTGTGAGGAACTTGCTCTCATTGCAATGTCTGCTTGGACCATCCAAGAAGGCTTCCCGTTTGGAGACAAGGCCACATGCTGGGCCAAGCAATCCCTCCCATCTAATTTTCTTTAGCCACTCTTGCGTCCTGGGAGTCGCATTGTGTGGATCGATTTGTCAGCAAAGCACCCCCTGAAATGTATCACCGGGGTTTTCTCAAAACAGGAATCGGTTCATTTCCTAAATGGCCAAACCTTGCTTTTGGTTTCCCTTTATGTACCAACCAAAAGGGGACCCCCAGTGCATTTCCATGGGGCAAGATGGGCCGCCGTTTTTTGGAGCAGCGGATGTTAAAGTGACCCCCCTCTAGACTCTAAACAGAAAAAACTGCACTCGTCTGGGCAATCCCCCATGGCTATTAAGGATTGACCCCGTTTGAACACCAAGGGCTGCCAAATGAGTCTGGAACAAAATGTCAACATCACCTCGTGGGTTCCTTTTCGTTGGATAAGCAACATGGGTTGTATGGGTCTGTCTTTTAGGATTTGGACCTCAGTGCCCTGACGCTTTTCCTTGGGGGAAACCCCACAAAAAGCGAGCAATTCCAAGAAAGAAAAAAAAAAGACGAGCCACCCATCTACTCACTTCCGTGGGTTGGAAAAAAACACGTCCAAACTGTATCTTTACCACTAAAATTGCAACTTCAAACCCAAAAAGTGGCGCTGAAGCTCCGAAACGGAACTCAGGAACTGAGAATCCCTCGCACGGGATCGCGTCTGGGTCCAACAACGGGTCCAGTGGGGGGGGGGGGTGCAACCCAACTCTCTCCTGGAGGCTTGGAAGGTGCTCTCATCCATCTTCACCACGCCATCGTTGAGCCCTACCTGCGCTGAAATCCCTAGGTTACAGGAGGGAGGCGAAGTAAAGGGAAAACAAGCGGAAAGCCGTTAAGCCAGCTTGGGAGTGGGTTCCAACCTAAAGACTACGCCCATATCCGAGGACCCGCCTTGATCGGTCTATGTCCATGGTCTGAGGCACGGAGGCGTGTTTGGTCTGAAGGTCTGGTTTCCCCAAATCCGTGGCCAAGGGTAAACCCCAAGGAAGAAAACAAGGGGTAAATGAGCCCTACTGTGGATGGTTACGACATCCATTTCGCACCACTTTAAAACCATGGTTGGAACCATTGTTTGTTGGTATTTACAGGGGAATCATCATTCTATGGTTTCTCAGGTGATGCGAAATGGATTTCGTCCATCCACAGCATGGCTTCACGTGGCTAGGGCAATTCTGAGACAGTTGCACCTCAATTCCTCGACCTTCGCGACCTTGTCTCATGCCCATCGACCTCTTTCCTGACTATAGCCGCTGTCCAAATGTGCGGCTCCTTCAAGGACATGGGAAGCTGGACCCGCTTTCAGGTGGCAAATTTTGAGAGTTTCGCTGCCATGCTCCGTTACAAGGAAAAAACACATAGACACCTGGGAGATTTGGCCAAGCAGAAAAACCTCTCCCTGGCCTTTGCACTTCTCCATATCATACGTCCATAAGTCTTTGGCGTTTCCCCAGTCGAGGACTCAGCAAAGAATGAGGCAACAACAAAGACAGTGAGAGAACAAACACGGCGAGGAGGATACCAAAAACTAAGTCAGTTGGTGTCGTGGAAATAGTAGAACGCCTTTGCACAAAATCTGAGGGCGAGCTCATCTTTGCCTCGTGTGAGCATGACAAACCTCGATGCTCGCGAAGCAGACTCTTTGGAGCCCTGAGGTCTCTAAGCATCTCGCACAGTCACATCCATGCCAAACCTGAAAACACACACACACACAGACCGGCACAGTCTCCATAGATCCCCTAGAATTGCCGAAACTTCCCTGGATCTCAACGAGGCTAAAGTGGGGACCCGACACCCGGCAAAAGCGGGAAAAGCGCGGCAGAAGGGTCCCTTTTGCCCCAACTCCCTGCCTTGAAGTTCTGCACCCCGTACCGTGGCTGCAGCACATCCTCCATGCTCAAAGATTCCCAGAGCGACTCGTAGAGGCCCGCGATGCGCGGGCTGCCTCGCTTTTGGAACGGCCTCGAAGATTCCCTTTCCCGGGGGCGAGCAAATGAACCAAATTTCTGCTTGGGACAAAGGAATCTGGGAACAACTCCCATCAACTAGCATGGAAGTGCAACAATTCGCCCTTTCCAAGAGGAAAGTAGTCTTTCTACAGGGGTCTGTGCACTTCCATGTTAGCTGGTGGGAGGGTGACAACTCTGCAAAGCAGTGAAATCTCTGTATGGAGAAAGAATCATTCAACGAGGTCGTGGCGTTTGCCAGCAGAATGCGTCTCATAACCAATAGACCCCTCCCTGACTCCCAGCCCAGCCATCTCTCCACTAGCTCCTTCTTCTACCCTGGTTTCCATATGCTGGGAGTGGTCCTGGGACCGGTCCTGGGACCGGACCCTTGGTGGACATCAGAATTCGGGGATTCATGCGTGCCAAGCACTTTTGGATCGGTAGTTCCTGGGTCAATTGTTTGGGAGGAAGGAGAAGAGGGGCCAACGGTTGGAATCCTGCGGATAGCCAAGAGCTTCGATAAACGAGGTCAAGCCATGCCCGGCAGACATGTGTTGTGCCCAATTAAATGAAGGAGTGCCTGTTGGATGTTCAAAAGAAAGACATCCAATCCATTGCCATTTCTGTGGGGTCACCTATCTTCGGACACATTGTCAGGGTGTTTCACCCCGAAGGATGATGACCGCAGCAAGCAGAAATCCGAGGCCTTCCCATGGAACCAGAAGCTGAATCCAGAATGTGGGTGACCGGTTGAATGGGTTCGATCGCTACATGTTTAGCGGCGATCGGAACCCGTGCATCCCCGAAGATTTGGGGTCAACCATGCGCTGGCGAGCCACTGTTTGGTTGGGAGGGGGCGAAACCCCCGAATCTTGGTTGACGTTGGAAGGGGAGCAAAAATAATAGTTTAGCAGTTGAGTGGGGATTTCCCACTAAACCACAACAAGCAAACATGTAAAATGTTGCCCAACAACAACCATGGATGTGTCCCCACCAGCCATGGCTTCCCCTCACTACCCAAGTCTTGGGCCAGAAACCGTGGAAGCGAACAAAGACGGGGGAGTCGCGAACTTGATCGTACGACTCACGAATCACCGTGATTCACCGAGTGAAGAAAGTATCCTTCATCACGCATGTCAAGATTCGGACAAATCCGGATGACCAGAATCATCTGAGGACCCCCTAGTAGGTGCATTTCTCAAAAATAATGTTCACTCTGAGCCCTTTTTTCAAAGGGAATTCACCCCTGACTGATCCCGAGAGCTTTCGTACACAGCGAGCAATGCCCCCCCCCCCCCTCTCCCAGACCTCCATTGGCCATGGGAAAAACCAGGCCTCCCTTTCTTGGCCATCGATTTAACAAGCGGGTTTTAGTTTAAGGCCCAGGCCAAATGGCTGTGGGTCAAAACCAATGGTACCATTTTGGGGTAGGTGCACCACCCATTTTAGTCTACTTTAGTGGGGATTGGGATGTTCACTGGGGGTACGGGATTTTGACCCATGGCCATATATTCAGGAGACACGGTGTCTTTTTTGAGACCCTTTCTCCGGGTGGTTTGAAGGGAAACTCGAGACACGCCACCAATTCGGGGGGCGGCTATTGAAGATGGCCCCTAAAAAGGCTTCACGAGTTACCTCGTGGTTCTCCTCTGAAGCCACAAAAAAGAAGGCGCAACACCCCAAAAATCAGGGTATCAACTCCAAACAAAGAGGAGCCCTGCAGAAAGTTTGACTTGTGGGTTCAATGGAAAACCAACTTGATTTCAATAGCAATCAAGCCATTGGTCTCCTCTAAAACTGCGAAAAGGCAGGTGAAACACCCGAAAACTCATGGCTTCTCCAAAAAAAAAGACGAGGCCAGCCCGTTTTGGTCTCTCATATCGCCTGCCTCGGCTCTCGGGGTACCACTTCATGAAGCCCGTGGGCAGGTCCTATGCCATCCGCTCGTCTGCGGCTATGGCTCAAGGACAAACCAAAAGGAAACTTGTTAGGCCATTTGGGCACACACAGATTTCATTTGTAGCCGGAGAAAACGAGGCGCGCCTGGTTGAGGTGTTCCTTTTTGGGAGGCGGTTCCATCTGAGTCACTATCAGTAAAGGGTGTGTGTGTGTGTGTGTCTGGATGTCTGGGTGAACCAACACCTCCTTGTGGTGGCTGATCCCTCTAGGCAAACCCATTGTCGGTTGAGAAGAACCACATGGACGGCCCTTCTGTACCCAGGTGAACCGTGCTGGCCCATTCGTCCGATTCCCGAATGGGGGAACCGGTCTGCAGTGGTACAAGGGCCTGAATACTTAGACTGGGTTCGGGCACTATTAAGCCAAGTTTCTAACGGTACCTTCCCCATTCTTTCCAGGGATCCTTCTTTTCAGGAAACCATCAAAAGTCAAGGGAAACAGCCGGTTTTCGAAAAGAACGATGGTTGAAAAGAATGGGGAATATGTTTGCTATTCTGTTGCTCCGTGGGGTGCGTCTTGGCGGCGAAACAAATCCATGCTCTTCTGTCAAGCCGTCAAGGCATTCGGAAGAATTGGTTTGACCCCGTGAAAAGTTTGCCAAAAAGGGCTCGCAAGGAAAGCGGTAGACAAGTTGCCATAAAGGTGACTGCAAGTGTGTTCCAAGAAAAGAGGTGCAAGTTGCCAGCCGTCTACCCACACAAGCGCGCACACACACACACACACACCACACACACACACACACACATGCGCATGCACATACATATGTATGTATGTGTATATATATATATACATGTATGTACATATATGTATGCTAAGCCCTCCTCCAAAACGTACATGGTCATCAAGAAAACAAACAAACATATACTTGTTTGCATTGTATGTATGTATATATATACATATATATATATATATACACATGTATTTACAAATTTGTGTATTTCTATGTCTATTTGTATTATGTGTTTAGTTGTTTATGCTTGTATGTACGTACGCACGTATTTATTGTCTTATTACATATTTATTTATGCATTCACATACTTACCGATTTCCTTATTTACTTATTTATTCAGTCGCATCATGACTCATTGATTTGTTTAATTGTTCTCTTTTATTTATGTATTTACTGATTCCCATATCTATCCATGTATGTTCTGTCTGTTTATTTGTGTTCTACGTATAGATATATACATAAACATACATATCTACACAAATGATCATGTGATCTCTGGGACCTGTCGCTTCCGGCTCCGTCCTCCGGCGTGAAGTCGTTGATCCCAGGTACCACCTGGTCTTACGAAACGGCCGTGGTCGGCTCTTTGGGAGTCGGAAGGCCCGAGCCCAGAAAGGACCTGATTCAATTTGTTTATAAGTGTCTTATTGTATCTATAGGGATAACCTGGGTTTTTATATCTGGGTTATCTTGGATCGAACTGGCGTTTTGGATTGGTGGGTTGCACTTCTGGGGTTTCTGGGTTGAAGAGCTCCAAGAACCAACAAACACTCAAAAATGTGTGGCGGGACAAGGGGCGACTATGGTCGATGCAGGGCCCGAGCCCTAAAAAGGACCTGATTCAACTTGGGTCGAATTGGCAGTTTGGATTGGTAGTTTGTTCTTCTGGGTTTGCTATTCTGGGTTCAGTGAAGAGCTCCAAGAACAAACGGACGCTGAGAAATGTGTCGTGGGATCAAGGGGCGACGTTGATCGATGCAGGGATCAGCAAAAAACTGGGAGCTTCCCAAGAGAAAAGCTCAAGTCCTTTTC